TCAAACCATCACAGACCTTTAGTTTTTGGGAAAAGATGAAGAGTTAATTAAAACAGATCATCTACGTACGTAACCTTCTTGAAGTTGTTCTTCCAAAAAGAATCCTCTTATATTTAGTATTTCCTGATTGTTATTTTAGTTAGATGTTTACATTCTTCCTCAAACTTTATGAATAATTAATTTAGTTGTTGTGTGCTCGGAGAGCTCAAGAAAAATAATTATAATTTTGTATAGATTTACCAAGCTTATGAGGAGTTGCATAGCAATTGCATCTTGGATAATTAAGGAAAAGTGGAGAAGAAAGAAACAAAGGCATGTATTTGAAAGATGATTGTGGTGAACAAAAATGTTGATCTCAAGCAAATATTTTAAGATTTAGGTCCCGCATACATTAATAATCAGACTAGAGGTAGAGGGGGCAAAAAAGAGCATACAATGGAAGATGAAGAACGTTTTCAACTTTATTGAGAAAAATCTATCTAGTACTGCTATTTTTATAATTAACGTGGAAGTTTTCTTTATAAGAGAGCTTTGTTACAATTAAAACACGTAAAAAATTAGTGCTTAAAAAACAAATATACCAACTAGAGAAAAGTAACTGCATATTTCAAGTCCTTCCTACTCGATCAAAACAATCGAACTTGTTGAAGAAATTTACCTTGACATGGTCGATCAGAAGTATGCTTTTTTTTGACCTTGTAAATTAATATTCCTTTTTCCTTTTTTACAATTTTCTTTGGTTTTTGTTTTTTCAACATGTCAGCTAGCTGGCTAGGTATGAATTGCTAAATGTTTCGTTTTTCATTTATTTGATTATTATTATTTATGTCAAAAAAAAAAAAAGTAAAAAGAAAAAAGAAGAAGAAGAAAGATAAAACCTTAGTTGACCGAGAAGTTAATGTGCATGAAGACACTTTGCTGTCATCACACTGAATATTTGTATATACTCTTCACATCTTTCAGCTTTCTAAGAATGCTTAGGCCTGTGATGTACTTCTTCAACCTTAACAATCATCCGCACCCCCGGTGGGGGTTTGTGATGTACTTCTTCAACCTTAACAATCATCCGCACCCCCGGTGGGGAATATGACGCACAAGCCTGATTCGGGTGCAACAGAGTGTTCCACCAAGCGTTAGTACACCCTAGCTAGAATCCATTTTTAATTTAATTAATTGTCCCGATAATGCAAATTACAATAAATTTTGGCATGAAGAATATCAAATTAATTAAACAAGAACCATAGTTTAGATATAATCTCCAAAGACAAAACTAAATCGTACGTACATATGAAGATGAATTAGCTAGCTTTCTATTGAGCAAGACACTATTTTAATCTAGGTTTCTGGGTATTTTATGCTTCCTTAAACTTTATTTGTTATCTTGGTATCGTTTGCACTTCCTATTTTTCTAATAAATTTTATATTCTTGGTATTATTTGTTGATGTAAAGAGCATGTCATCATCCAAAAATAGTTTATTACAAACCAAAAATTAATCAGGAATATAGCTTAATTGTCTGTTAGTTAACTCAAAATGAGATTGTTTCGAGCAAATTGATGACATAGTACGTCTTATAGACCCGATAAATCAGAAGCATTGCTCTAGTTAGATTTGTTCCTAAATATATATCACTTGGAACCCAAGAGATAGGCTTAAGACATTTCGAAATGGAAAAAAAATCCTAAAATTCTAAGGATAAAAAAAAATTCTAACTAGCCCTGGAGAAAAACCCTGGATATATTTACGAGTGAATATAATAGAGAAGTGAGTAAAAGTATGAAGATAATAAAGCATATATTGACTTGTTTTACTTCCAAATCAATAAACAAATAATAGCACATTTGACTTCCAGAAATCTCAATTCTGTCGAAATTTTTAGTGTTTGTCTAGACATACATAGATCCCAATGTTATTATTAACTTGTAATGTCGTGCTTGGGACGTTATGATCATCGATCTACAAACATCATCCTTGCTATTAGTATAAGTAGGAGATGTTTATATATGTAGCTTATGAATTAAAGATTTAAGAAATTAGAGAGAGAGGGGGAGAGAGAGAGAGAGAGAGAGAGGGAGAGAGAGAGAGAACAGCTAACAGTAGCATGCAGGCGGAGTTATTTTATCAGACAAGTTTTTGACAAGATATGTGTCTAATCCCGGGCCGCCTGGGTGACTTTATCAGGGAATCCCAGTTTTTGACAAGATATGCGTTTAATCCCGGGCCGCCTGGGTGACTTTATCAGAGAATTCCATCTCTCCCTCGCTCTCTCCATGCAGCTAATGAACATGAAGAGAAAAAAGTACGGTTATAGCTACAAAAATATTCTCGTCTATAACACTTTAAATAATTTGCTTGAGGATTAATTAGATTTTGGCACTCAGGGATAATGTAATTACACGATTCACCCTTAAGTTTGTGTACACGCCTAAGCCTAAAATTGCTGATTGCCGACAAGTTAACACTAGTTGTTGTTTGCTTATAATTAGGAGATTTTCCTAGATGGCGGTTAGGGTTAAGGTTAGTGTGAAGCCGCGTGAAGAGATAAGCGGAAAAATATGGACGTGGATTAATTGTGAAAACGACGTGGTGTGGGGGCCACATCGACCCACGAAGTTCCAACGACCACGAGATCTCCTATAAATACAACTGTTCTCCCTAGGGTTTCATGTTGAGGCAGAGGGGAGAAAGAGAAAAAGCGGTGGGTTTTTCGTTTAGGATGCGCGAAGGAAGAAAATAGCAGAGAAAAGTCGGAATTTCTCTTTTGGCAGCAGGCGAAACTGCAGAAAAAAAACGAAGCCGTGGACACTTTTTTAGGGTTTTGTGTATCCATTTGAGAGAGTATTTGTGTGAGGGATTTGAGAGATTGTGTGAGGGATTTGAGAGATTGTGTGAGGGTTTAGATTGAGTGATTGTAAACCCTATTTGTTTTCTCTCCCTCTAATAATAGATCTCCCCCCTTCTTGCCCCATGGACGTAGGCAATTTGCCGAACCACGTAAAATTAGTTTGTTTGTGTTTGTGGTTATTATAATAGTTTTTTAGGATCACTCGACAAGTCAGTCCTAGAACTGATGAGAGGAAGAGCCGATATCTAATTGTGAAGCCACGTGAAGAGATAAGAGGCAAAAATGTGGACATGGATTAATTGTGAAAACGACATGGTGTGGGGGCTACATCCACCCACGAAGTTCCAGCGGCCACGAGATTTCCTATAAATAGGACTGTTCTCCCTAGGGTTTCGTGTTGAGGCAGAGGGGAGAAAGAGAAAAAGTGGTGGGTTTTTCGTTTCGGATGAGCGAAGGAAGAAAATAGCAGAGAAAAGTTGGAATTTCTCTTTTGGCAGCAGGTGAAACTGCAAAAGAAAAAAAAACGAAGCCGTGGACACTTTTTAGGGTTTTGTGTATCCCTTTGAGAGAGTATTTGTGTGAGGGATTTGAAAGATTGTGTGAGGGTTTAGATTGAGTGATTGTAAACCCTAGTTATTTTCTCACTCTAATAGTAGATCTCCCCCTCCTTGCCTCGTGGACGTAGGCAATTTTTTGAACCACGTAAAATTGGTTTGTTTGTGTTTGTGGCCATTGTAATAGTTTTTTAGGATCCATCGACAAATCAGTCCTAGAACTGATAAGAGAAAGAGCTGATATCTCACTTTATTGAGATATTCACTTTAGATTCTTGTCTCCTTGGTGAGACGAAAATTCTTATTGATCTTTCTCTCTTATTATGCACCAAAAACTCTGTCGAAATTTACATTGCGCATAACAAGTGGTATCAGAGCACGTGCTACGCTTGGGCTATTTGGAGGAGTAGATTGCTTTGGAAGCTCGTCTAGGGCTTTGTTTGGTGATAAATGTGGGATTTTTTGGTAAAGACTCTATCTTTTTATTAGTTTTGGATCTATTCTTCATTCGTTGGTGCGTTGAGAAAGATGTCAGAGAAAGAAGGTGCTTCGGGTGTCGAGGGTGGTGTTTCTGGCATGAAAACCATTCAGAGTTTGAATATCCACTCTCTGAAGATAGATGCGAAGAAATTTAATAGTACAAACAACTTTAGACTATGGAGATGCGAGGTTTTGGATGCGCTGAACGTGCAAAATTTGGAGGATACCTTAGAGTTAGATGACAAGCCAGATGAGATTGAAGAGAATGTTTGGAAGAAGATGAATCGAATGACGTGTGGTGTGATTAGATCTTCTTTGACTCAAGATCTAAAATATGATGTGATGAATGTGACTTCTGCGAAGAAGATTTGGAAGATTCTTGAAAGCAAGTATCTGACAAAGAATGTTGAGAACCGCTTGCATTTGAAGAGGAGACTTTATCATTTCCAGTTGAAGAAAGGAACCTCAATTAGTGATCATATGAACACCTACACAAAGCTTCTTACGGATTTGGCGAATGTGGATGTCAAGATTGAAGATGAGGACAAGACGTTGCTATTGTTAAGTTCCTTGCCCGACAAAGAATATGAGACATTCGTTCTTACCCTGATTAATAGGAAGATATCTCTTTCGTATAGTGAGGTGACTACTGCACTTGTGAACTATTAGCTTCAAAAGAAGGATAATGAGGCTTCAGTTGAGCCGGTAGCAGAGGCGTTGGTCGTAAGTAGGAATGGTCCAAAACGAA